ACGTATTTTAATTGGGCAAAATCCTGTTGTGTAAAGTTATCCAGATGTAAAGCAAATCTGGTGGCAGCAGTAATCTGATAGAGATTTTTTCTGCTATTAAAAGTTTTAACCCTTAGTCCTCAGGCACTCAAAGTTTTCCCCAGGGCAAAATAACTAGTGAGCATGAAGCTCAGGGACATGAAGATTTCAATTTATTTAAATTAATTATTTAGGCTGCCACATGGTTTCACTTTAAACAACAGGACTTTGCCCACTGTCTCTCCAGTTTTCTACAAATCTTTTCTAAAATAATAATACCAGGAAATTCAGAGCCCAAAACGTAAAATACAAGAACTGAGAATTCAACAGCACTAGCAAAGAATCCTTAGGTAAGAGGCATGGCTCATATAATTGTCATAAGGTTGTTGTTAAGTCGTGTCCAACTCTTCGTGACCCCATGGACCAGAGCACGACTCCTGTCTTCCACTGCTTTCTGCTTATCAATCAAATTCATGCTGGTAACTTCGATGACACTGTCCAGCCATCTCATCCTCTGTCGTCCCCTTCTCCTCTTGCCCTCACACTTTCCCAACATCAAGGTCTTTTCCAAGGAGTCTTCTCTTCTCACAAGATGCCCAAAGTATTGGAGCCTCAGCTTCAGGATCTGTCCTTCCAGTGAGCACTCAGGGTTGGTTTCCTTCAAAATGGATAGGTTTGTGCTCCTTGCAGTCCAGTGGACTCTCAAGAGTCTCCTCCAGCACCACAATTCAAAAGTGTCAATTCTTTGGCAGTCAGCCTTCTTTATGATCCAGCTCTCACTTCCGTACAACACTACTGGGAAACCCATAGCTTTGACTATGCGGAGTTTTGTGGGCAAGGTGATGTCTCTGCTTTCTAAGATGCTGTCTAGGTTTGTCATTGCTTCCTCCCCAGAAACAGGAGTCTTTTAATTTCATGGCTGCTATCACCATCTGCAGTGGCCATGGAGCGTAAGAAAGTAAAATCTGTCACTACCTCCACATCTTCCCCTTCTATTTTCCAGGAGGTGATGGGGCCAGTAGCCATAATCTTAGTTTTTTTATATTTAGCACCAGACTGCATTCTCCTCTTTCATTAAGAGATTCTTTAATTCCTCCTCACTTTCTGCCATCAGAGTGGTATCATCTGGATATTGTTGATATTTCTTCCGGCAATCTTAATTCCGGCTTGGGATTCATTCTGTCCTGCCTTTCGCATGATGTATTCTGCATATAAGTTAAAAAAGCAGGGAGACAATATACAGTGGGGACTTGACTTGCGAACTTAATCCATATTGGAAGGCGGTTCGCAAGTCAAAAAGTTTGCAGGTCAATTCTGCATTTCCCATAGAAATGTATTGAAAACCATTTGATCCGTATCTGCTCTTTTCCGTCCATAGAAA